CCCCCCCCCCCCCCCCCCCCCCCAAGCCCACAATCTACTTGTTTGACGGGTTGGTGACGAAAAAAAGAAAAGAAGCATGTGTTGGGCGAGGGCCCATCAAATTCCTTCGCCGAACAGAGAGGAAGTCGCCACAATCACGACGACTTCTCGTCTGCGCTCTACGCTCTCCGCTACCTACCCACGCGACGCGTACGTACGCTCCGCATGATGTGTATGACTCTTATACAGGTCCGATCACACCGATCTGATGCAGAGTGGACAGCGAGTCACATCCCTTCTTTGCGCTACTACATACCATACCAGAATGCTAAGCGTGGTATCGTAAGTCGTTTCCACTCCATCCCGGCTAGTAAATGCGTGTTGCGTGTACATAGCTGCACGGGACCCTTCGATCCCCACCTCCCGATGCGTGTGAAACGGCGTCCACCCACCCAACGACTACTATTGCTGTTACCCGACATTCTACACATGGTATGGTACCTTAAGATGCCGAAAACCCTTAGCAGGATGCAGCGCACCCTTCATGCGACTCGCCGAATATCTCACGGCGCTTCGCGCTTGGTGATGTGAGAGCCTGGTCCGGTGAGAACCCGGCGTGCTCCGTCCCGGCTTTGTAGGGATGCGAGGTCAATGGTCTAACGACTACGGCATGCACGACTATGAGTACATCCCCTCCCCCCCCCTGGATTCGGCACGACACTCCCTCGACCATCCTCATACAAGCAAGTTTTTTCCACGCGAAAGAAGCCATCTTCTCACCCAGAAAAAACAAGAAAATGAGGCGTTTTTACGCCACTCTTGGTTTCCTAGCGCCGCGAAGACAGGCGTGACAACGAGGCACTTCCTCACAATATCCAGCAATCACATGGCCGCGTCACAAACGCAGGCCGTCACGACTCCAGCGGATGCGTTCAACAGAAAAGCAGTACCCAAGTGTACATAGAACACATCCACTGTCCACTGCTCTTTTGGCATCTGCACCGATTCTTGGATGTTCAGCATTTACTCTCAACAAAAAAAAAAAACTAGACAAGGGTACGGGACGCCACCGGCATGCATTCATCGTTGATTGGGCGAACTCTTCACAGTCTCTCAGTTTTCGGAGCCCGCATGTATGTAGAGCCAGCCAGCCGCCGGCTGTCCGCAACGAGCGGTGGTAAGGGCTGTCCTGTCGCTACGCTCATCATCTGGAGTTTCGATCGACGGACTAACCCATCCTCCACCACGCCGGTAACGGTCGAAGCGAAGGCGGGTGCAAATTCAATCGCGCCGCAATAATTCCGATGGGAGCTGAAAAACTGCACATGGGAAGTCTCCTCTTGCTTGTGCTACGCCATGTGTTGCGACTTTGCGGTCGTTCAAGGATGCGAATCAGACTAACCCGGTTCTGCTGCTTGCTTGCCTCGTCAGACGGCAAGTCTCACTCTACCTCTACTCTTTAGTTCACTAAACGACGCACAGTTGGTCTTGTGTGTTTCGCGGGCTACTGGCTGCGTGGGGGAGACAGACCTTCTGTCGGCCGACAGAAAAAAATTCAAGCCGCACCCTCTCGTCCCCATCGCGTGCTTCTCGCCCCTCCCTTCAACCAGTCAAATCAGCAGCACACCAACATGAAAAAACAACGAAAAAACAACAATCCCCCGGTGTTCGTTACCTACATGCCCGCAATTTAGACCAGCAGCACGATCTTTCACCCCAACCCCCGCCACCTATTATAGCTGCCCCCCTTCCTCCCTTTCACCAAAGAGAAAAACATCGATGCTACGACAAATAACAACCCCCGCCACACAGCGACCGCTGCTCGTCTGAAGCGAAGGCCAAAGCCGCGTCTGCAGCAGTGGAAGCAGCAGCAACAAGAGACGCCGCTCCCAATCCAGCAGCATGTGTGAGAGAACTCAAGAAGGGGTGCTGCGCTGTCTCAGTTTTCCCACGCGCCCCGCCNGTCCTCCCCCACGCACTGTCTCGCACGACCAAAATATCCCTCGCCGAAAACGCTCACCGGGCAGCACGCCTCAACGTCAGTCACCCAGACACCCCCCCCCTCGAATACATCCACGAATCCCCTCCTCCGCGCGTGCGTGCCTGACTCCGCTGAACCCCCAGTCGAGCACACACCCCACCGCACTAAAAGACGCAAAACGCGGGGGGCCCTCTCGCCACCAGAGCAACAACAATCACCCGAGATAGTCGCCGATGCTCTTGGCTAGCATCAGGGAATCCGGGTCGTCCGACACTCTGGTCCAGGCGTCAAAGTTGGAGGGATTGGCCAGCAAACGGTTAACCTCGTGGCTCTCATTCCTGAGCGGGAGGGAGGCGCAATCAAGCATACAGGGTTGCGGGCGCGATATATATTGGTCAAGTATTTGTTCGTGGCGTCTAGGCTAACGTGCAGGAACCGCCACACTGTTAGGGGTGCCAATCGGGGCGATTTTGGCGGCAAAAAAGTGACCGGTCTATTCGAGGATTTTGAGAAAAAAAAGGGGGGCACGCGGACTTTTTGGTTCTCAAGTCAGCTCTTGAATCATACCGATCAAAGTATACTTTATCCTCCGTACTTTGTATAAGTAGCTCTGCGTCCAGGCAGCGACGTGGCTCTTCATACGTTG